GTCTAGCGAATAAAATTATTTTGTTATCTTAAAATTGTACAATTGATCCCAAAGTCACGCATATCGTACTCAATAGATTGTTCTTCAAGAATATGGGTTGTTTTAATTCCCAGTGTTGCTTTTTTTTTGTCAAGCAGCCGCGAAAGTTGAGTCAAAATTTACTGTCGCGAACGGYGTTTTCGGGAGTGTTTGAAAAATTCCATTTTTCTCCATAATAAAGCGTTATTTGATCAAACCAACTATACAGCGATTCTTAGGATACATTACCCTAACTAACTTGAAAGTATGAGCGAAATCGATTTTTCGAAGTTTGCCACGTTTTGCTCGATGGTTACAGACAGTCACTCTTAAACTCTTTCTGTATTGAGTACTGCTTTGAGAGGCTTAATTGAAAGTTCGAGTAGACAAATAAAAGAAAGATCTTTTCACAGCATCTTGAACTTTCTTGGAGTCAGTTTATACACTCGAGTAATTTCTAATCCTGCATTGAACGTCGAATTTCAGTAACTAACGAAAAAAGAATATGTGTGGACATAAATTTCAGACTCGCGATTCGCAGCGCCACCCCAAATCAATCACTATAGACCAACTGTCACTTGAATATAAACCAGACTTTACTCGTGATCTCTGTATCATATGTTCCCAAAGGACTCTTGGATTGTGTTGTAAAGACCCCTGGGTACTATTGCGCAATTTTGGCATTTTCTGACGCAGGAAAACAGAACGGAGACACAGGCAGCCCAGTAATAAGCTTGTAGATATGAAAGGTTTGTTGCATGTTCCTTACCAAGCTTGAAATGTATTGTGGATCATATGTAGATGAGGTCAGCACAAAAACTATGCCGCAAGTGCAGAAAACCCTTTTTTGCAATAGCTGTACAAGCAGAACTTGGTTAGTGCGCAGTTATACTCGACTTGTATTTTATCCCGAGTTTAGTCTTGCCTTTGAATGATTCATTTGCTTTTATTTCAAACAGCCTGGGCCAAAATAGATGCATCGGTCTGCAAACAAGGTTGGGTAGAATGGAACAATATCTGCTACATACTGAAACAAAATAGTGAGGACTGGAAAACTTCTCAATCCAATTGTGTAGCAGAAGGTGCAAACCTCGCTTCTATTGGAAGCGAGGAAGAGTACATCTTCGTGTTGTCTCTACTTCATGGCGCATCCGTCAACCAGATATGGATTGGCCTTAACGATAATGATAATGAAGGACAATTTCAGTGGGTGGATAAAAGTCCTTTAGTCTTTACGAACCTGAGCAACGACTCTCCAAACACAGTTGCCAGGAATTGCATCCAAATAAAAGCTTATAAGTGGAGTCCTCAATATTGTGCGCTTGGCTTGAAAGCACTGTGCAAATATGTCCCCATTGTCTTCGAGGAAGGTGAGATGTACAAAATCCAGTTTTCATAGACCCGTTCACTGTTTGAGCGTAATTTTTACGCAGAAGTTTTAAAAGTGAAGAGGGTAGGGGACCGGTTGCGCGGAATTGGGAACCTTATGCGCCCTGCTTTCTGCAACAGCAAACGATCCCAGATATCTGTGAGACCTGTATTCAGCCTCTCCTCATATCATTCCTAAAAAGTTCTATTACAGTGCTTAAGCTTTTCGATCGATAAGACGCGCGAAATCATCTTGATTGAAGGGCGCTTCCATAAAATTCCATAGATAAGTGCCCTTGTAAACTTTACGTTTTCCAACAATGTCATGGAAAGGCTTTAATTGACTACCACCAAAACCTTATTTTGTCGCGAGGGCAAAATCCGCGCGTTCGATTCCGAGCGTGTTATTCATAAGAACTGCAAGACAACTCTTACCTGACTGAATTTTTGTTGACAGATTTTTCCTTCCAAGTAAACTTCACTCGCCAACAGCTCTACACCAGCTTGCCGCATAAACTCCTCCTAAATCACGTGCTCAGTAAAAAATCAGTTCCATCTTTGCTACATTGCACGTTAATTTGCTTAAGAGACGCAAAATGCATGTCGTTGAACTACAGAAGCCCTCAGAACTCACAGGTCAAGAATGGGTTATGTATTTTGCATTCAGCGACAGCTGATGAATTCCCTGAAGACTTTGTTGACAATTCTGTGTACATATACGCTTTACCTATTAAGTAATGGGTGTTTGGACAACCGCAACATTTCCTATATTATATATAGAGTCCGCAGTAATATGAGTAATTAGTCTAAAACGTGTAAAAAAAATGCGCTTGCTATAAGTTGACCTTATGCGAATAGACAAATTCCATGGCCGCCATCTAGGGAAAACTAAAGAATTTCATGCAGTTATTCTAGGAAATAAAAACTCTTGCAGAAAAAAATATTGCACCTTATATACTTTTTGACGTAGAACATAGCTGCTATGAAACCTCTCTGTAGCTGGTGCACAAAATTTGTTGAGCAAAATATATTATTTGTTATTGGCGAGCGAGCAAGTGGTTGCTGATGCCGAAGGCAGAGGAAAATAATTGCTTGCGAGAATCTAGCAATTCACGATATTTTGTGATAACCGAGTTCAATAATCGTTTTATCATTGAAATTCATAGGAATTTTTCCCTTTCTTATTGTGCTTTGATTATTTTTGATGGCTATCAAACATACCAAGTCATGCAGGGAAGCGAGCCATACTGACAAATGCAACGTTACTGCGCATGAGCAAGATTACAAGAAAACACCTTTGCACCGTAATGCGCATGAGCAGAATATTATTGTAGGCAGTTTTCGACAGAAAAAAATAATTTGAATAATGAATGCAATTATTTGAAAGTTATTTTTTCTTTCTAGTAGTACTATGATAGTATATAATAATGAATAAATCGATAAGAATATCCTCATGTCAGGCTTATGTAAATGTATATGATATATATGTGTGTTAACAGATATACTCTAAGCTAATCCAAATACGAGGCTTCGAAAAGCTTCAAAAATCGCCGCGTTGGATTTGTTTTTATCGAGAGGCTTTCGTATGAGTGGGAAACGGTACGGCAAATTGTGTAGCCGTAGCGGTGCCAATGCTGGTGCCGTGTGCTTTCCGGACATTAAGTACTGTACGTCTCGCACTCATGCGAAAACCGTTGTACATAATAGCATTTGAATCGTTGACACCCGTTCTTTCTCCCCAGCTCAACTCCTAATACTATTAAATTGTATATCATAAGTATTACAAAAATCGTAATAAAAGTATAGACCAAAGCTAAGATAATAAACTGTAGATACAAACTCGACGATTCTACGATTCCTTCCAATAGTAGTAACTGGGTATCTTGGACATTTTAACGATTAATTTATACCAAGGTAGAGTAAGAAGTTGCGATAAATGAAATGGGAATACCTCATGTATGCTTGTTTAGACGATTTACTCGCATGTGCACATAGTCCTGTCCTGTCTCTAGTAAGTACCACTAATATACCATACAAAGGTTTAATTATGAGGTCTTATGAGACCATGGCAAAAAATGGTTTGAATTCGATCTGAAGGATTCACTCGGCGTAGAGATGTGAGCACTGGTCAAGGCTTGGAAAAGCTACCCAACTGAAACACACAAACACAAAAACGCAAATCAAAACCAAATTGTAAAATATTATTTAGAGAAATAAGACAAGTTTTTTAATTATTTCGTGTAGCAAAAGATAGTTGGAATACTGACCTTCATTTGTACGACAGGAACTAGTAAACTACTTCCCAAGAAGCCAACCAGTATTGTCATGATGCCAAAAAACTTCCCAAGAATAGTGACTGGCACAATGTCGCCGTATCTGAAATACATGCATTAAAATATAAAATACAATACATATATTAAAATCATATGTTTGGTCTTCGCTTGCCATAAAAACGGGGGGGGGGGGGGGGGGGGGGGGGGCACCAGGGTCTTACAACAAGTCTGACTGAGGGGGGATGTATTTACACCTTTTGCTGTTCATTAACAGAAAATGTACATTCATTTGTGCCAATAGTTGTATCAATAACGTGTAATGTACTTTCATCAACACCAC